ACTTGCCTCAGGATGGGGCAAAACCAAGTAGGCCACACCTGTGCGAGCAGAGCAAAGCAATCTTGTTATGGGTTCGACCAGGGGGCATGAACGACACAAAGCATCGCCGGAAGGTTTTTTGCCTCAGCGTACTGTCTGCTGAGTGATGATTTCAAAAACTCTATGCGCAGGGATTAGGCTTCCTGTGCATCTCTACGTAGAGAGGCCCGGACCAGGGTTTTTTTCCTACCTGCTATTTGTTTGGCACCAATTAGCTGACGTCTCCCAAACCTGGTCAGAGACATCACCGCCGAGCTCAAGACGTGCCACTTCCCAGCCTCCAGTCAGCATGTCCCCTTTATCATCCCAGTAGGTTCAAGGTGCAGGAGCGGGTACCTACCAGTCCTGCACCATGAACCTTCTGGGATGATGTAGCCACCGTCAAGGCCTTCTTGCACCTTAGTGCAGGTCGTGTCGCTTTCGACCTGCACCACACATCCGCAACAGCAAGAGCGACATGATGTCGCTCTTGCTGTTTCGGATCTTCCATGTGGCAGTCGGTCCTGCTTGTAGGTCTCGAGGAATACGTTGACCTTTCGTGTCAGAGACATCACCACCCACCGTGTTTAAGAAGTGTCTGTCACTTAAGTGCAAGCACCGAACAGGCCGCCCAGCACAGGGGGGTTGGGGGGGGTGGGTGGGTTTCTCGGTGGGTGGTTGATGGATGGGTGGGGCGGTTAGGTGGCTGGGTGACGGTGGGTGGGTGTGAATCAGGGGTGCGGGAATTGGTTGGGGGACCGGTTCGTGGTGGGTGGTTTGGGGGGGGTGGCGGGGTTGTCATGCAGGAATGGTCCCTGATGCATGCGACTTTTTCCGATGCTGCTCTTTGCTTCATGACCCATCCAGTCAGAAGTCCTAAGTCTTTCTAGGAAACCATGGAGTTCGTCGTGTTCTTGAAACTGTAAGCGGATTCAGAATCACTAGATGTCAGATTGTTTTGGTTAAGACTCGAATCCATGGGGATGTCACGATCAGAGCCATCAGCTACGTTATGAAATCCGTTATTCCGTCTCACTGCTTACTGCGACAATCCGTCCTGTCGGATCTGGGCGAGCGGGATCGCTTTCCTTCCCGATCGGAGTCAGAGTCGGACTCGTCACCACCTGGAACGTGCGAAGTTGGGGTCGCACAAGGTTGCGGTGATGAAACCAAGGCTCGGGCTGCGTGCGGGAGAGGTCGGGGTGAAAACGACCGTCGGGGACGTGGGATGCAAACTCTCCTGTCAGAGATGCGCATTTCACTGACTGAACAACTGACAAATGAACTGTCGGGCCAAGCCTTACTGTCCTTGAGCTTCTCTTCGTTGTCTTGCTGCGCCGAGCTCGCGGGTTCCTTCAAGCGGAGTCGTAGCCGGAGCCGCAGGACCTCATCCTCTTTCCTTGCCAGTGTCTGTCTCCAAAGCCCCGTTGCAGTGAGGACTTTCTCTTTGTACTTGCCCTGTGCATCCTCGAGCCTCTTCAACCTGCTCTTGAACTTGTTTGTCATTTCCGTCTGGGCTTTGGAAACCTTCTCGTCGAACTTTTCTTGTTCTCTTCTTTCTCTTTCGCCATCTGTGCCTGGTGCTCGGCGTTCATCTCTTTGATTTTGTTCTCATACATGGCAGTCAGTACCTTCATCTCCTTCTGGCTATCCTCGAACTTGTACCTGTACGTATCTTCCGTGATGGACAGCCTCTTAGCCTTTTCCTGGTTGTTTCTCTCATACGTGTTCTCCAGTTCGTCCAGCATGTCCTCGCCTTTCTTCTTTACAGCTGCCAGTTCGGCCTCGTGCTTCTTCTTGTCGTCCGCAATCTTCGCCTCGTACATTTTCTTCGTCCAAATCGCTTCCTTCTCAACCTCCCTCAAGCGTTCGATTTCCATGCGGTCCTTGTTATATGCGTCATGATGGCGAGCTTGTTGAAAGCCGAATCCTGCTTCTCCGTCTGCTCCACCTCATTCTTCCATTGGTTGTACATCTGTTGCAACCTTCTGTTGCAGAGGCGCCTGATACCGCTGAAGACATTGGCTGAGTGCTGCATGTTCTTCTCAGCTTTCTTCCACTCAACTTTCCATTCATCCGGAAGGGGTCGGAGTTCCTTTGTGAAGCCTTGCTTCGTTGGGTCCGTCTCTGTGTCGTCGTGGCTTCCTGCAGGGTTTTGACTTCGACGCCAAGCCGCCCATTCCGCGTCGGTGTACACTTGCTCAGTCATGGCGCTAGTGGCGCCAAGAAAAAAAGGGTGCGATTTCCTTGAATCTTGAGATGAAAAGCTGCCGCAGTCCAACATGTTGAGCTTGGAAGCAACCGACGGTGCAGCAGTCAAGTCTTGGTGTGGCTTAGGCCGGGGCTCTTCGAGGATCTCGATGCGCAGACTGTCTCAGCCTGGTTGGCCGGCGACAGACGGAAAGTGAGCAGAGAGATACTGAATCCATGCATGACTTTCCTGCCTCTTCCTTCCCTCACATCACTCCTTGCTGCCTGCTCATTCCTCGCATCTACAGTCACACCCTCATCTTGATCATTCCTTCTTCCTTCCCTGCTTCCTTCCCTGCTTCCTTCCTTCCTTGCTTCCTTCCTTGCTTCGTCTCTGCATCTGTCTTTGAGGGTCCGGCTCACCCCTGCTCGGGGTTCATCCTCACCCCTGTTCGGGGTTCATCCACACCCCTGCATGGGGTTCTCACGACCCCTGTTCAGGGTCCAGGCTCACCCTTTTCGGGGTTCATCGGACGCCCCTGTGCGGGGCTCTAACGACCCCTGTTCGGGGTCCAAGCTCACCCCTGTTCGGGGTTCATCCACACCCCTGCACGGGGTTCTCACGACCCCTGTTCGGGGTCCAGGCTCACCCCTTTTCGGGGTTCATCCACACCCCTGTACGGGGCTCCGACGACCCCTGTTCGGGGTCCAAGCTCACCCCTATTCGGGGTTCATCCCGCAGCCCCTTCAAGGGCTTGGTGCGGGTACGCCCCTGCACGGGGCTCCGAAGACCTCTGATGTGGCGACCTGACATCCTGACAGAGCCTGCGCGAATGCCTAATTACAACTACTTTTGCCTGCTACCTTTAAACTTCTTTCCTGATCAATGCCTCCTTACCTACATGCCCGCCTACCTAGCTATCTAGAGACCTGGAAGCCTGCCGGTGCACCTAGACCTACAAGTACCTCCCTCCTGCCTATCTACTTATCTATACCTACCTGCAGGAGTGGGTGGGCGGGTTTGGGGGTTGGGTGGGATTACAGTTTAGGGTCCAGGGTTTAGGGCATGAGCTGGACGTTACGAAAACTTAGAGTTTAATCATGAACACACACGCTAATTTTCAAGTCGTTGTGAATCGTACAAAAAGCTGACTTTAGGGTTTCAGAACATAAAATTTTAAGTTTCTTGTTTTTGTTGAGCCACAAGAACACCAAGTTGCATTTGTTTGGTTTGCTCGGCACAAACGAATCTTCAAAATATTTTGATCTTCAAAAATATCTTGCAACAAAGAAATTCCATGTGAACTACAAAACTTGGGACAGGCAATTATGTCAGTATGGCTTTGATTTTTCGATGTACATGTTTTCACATTTCGAACAAACCAAGTTTTTCAGGCATTGATTTTTCTATTGAGCCACAAGCACACATCTTTTTATACATGTCCAGCATCTCGCTCTTTCCATAGAGCCACAAGAACACACATGACGTAGGCCCAATGTTGCTGCAGTAGTTGCATTTGTTTTCCGTCCTGCCCCCCCCTTCAGCACGACATCAGACATGTTGCTTTACGTGTCCTATATACACGTGTTCTGACATGTGTTCTTACATGTCCATCATGTCAGCAACACGTGTCCTATATACAAGTGTTCTTACATGTCCATCATGTCAGCAACATAAATCCTAGGACCCGGTTCCATAACGGAAAGGACCCGGTTAGCCCCGGACTGGCATTGAAGCCATGATGTGTTGCAGATCGCTCGGCTTCCGAGGTGGAGAATTGACTGGCTGCAGAGGAGGGCAGAGGAAAGGCCTCTGGGGAACAAAACTGCCAAGGTTCGACATGGAACCGACCTTGCAGCAGTTGAAGGGCACCTGTGCCTCGATAGGCCCTGGTACAGGAATCGACCGGTGGTCTGTCTGGCCGGCCCACCTGTCGCCGGTGGTATCCTCTCTATGGACTTCGGCAGAGATTGCAAACTCAGCTTGGCACTCGGGAGGCAGTGCTAGCGACAGGCTGCACATGCTGCAATTGGGATTTTGCCTGAAAAACCTCCGTGGTCGGAGGGAAAAGGCGAGATGCTGTGCAAGCCCGGGGTGGCTGCACAAGCTGTGGCAGGGCCGAGGGACCAGAGGCACCTCCTGTGCATTCTCGTGACCTGTCGATACCTGCGAGAGCCTGGACAGAGAGAAAAGTTTGCCGTGCCTGTGAAGGTAGCACAGGCCACACACAGGGGGAGGGGCTCGACGTCTGTAACCTGTGGCAGAACCTTGAAAGTTCTCTGGCCCATCGATTAAAGCAAGCATGTGCAGGAGTGAATGACGTGAGGGCCCGGACCTTGAGCGCGATCGGGTGTTTCTGTACATGCAGAGCAGACGGCCTACCCTCGGGAGGAAAATTCACGCTCACTAAGGCAGCCTCCAGGTGACCATGACGAATGTCGGCTAGGGCATCGATCGCAGCCGAGCCTTCCGCATCTGCCTCAATCACAGGTCCACCCATGCACACTGTGAGAAGCTGGAAGGAAGGAAGGCTCAGGGAGCCCAGATGCCGTAGCAAACATTTCGCCATGTCTCCAAGGGGCCGCACAATCCTCAGCATGTCCCTCGTTTCGGAGGTCTTCAGCAAATATCATCAACTCATCAAGGTCATGACGGCCGAGCTCAACCTCAAAACTTAGGTTGAGAGCGAGGAGGTTCGCCCAAAGTGGCGAAACATAATCTGCATCACTGACAACGGAGTGTGGCATCCGCTGCAGGAAGACACTAGGCCCACTAAGCTCCGTTAGGCAACTTAGCGGGCCCCACCAGGGGGCAAGCCATCTTGTGGCCCTTGGCCGGCTTCTGTTGCCGGCTTGTCCATTCCTGTGGCACCTCCGGGTTTGAAATCGAAGGCCGGCGCGTCGTTGCCCTTGTGCCGACGTGGCGTTCTGCTGCCTTCTCGCTGTCTGGCTGAATCGGCAGCCGATGCTGCAGCCTCTTCCTTGGCCTGCTGCAGCAGGCCGAGAACCTTCGCGTGCTGTAGCTGTATCTGCTCGTGTGTGGCCTTGTTCTTCGCCCGGATCGTGGCCTCCACCTCGATCGCTTTGTCCACCATCAGCTCGGCCTCTTCGTCCTCCTCCATGTCGTCGTTGATCAGCTGGGGACCTTTGCCGTCCCCTGTGCTGCCTCCTGCTGCAGCCGTCGCCAAGGCCGTTGCAGCATTCGCCAGCTTCACTGACAACTCCTCTTCGGCAGTGGAGTAGCTTTGCATCGTCTGCATCCTTGTCTCGCCTTGCTTGGCCCACAGTTCTAGTAGGCCCACCACGTACGTTTCCCAGGCAGCATTGTACACTGCCCTGTCTATACGCAGCTTGTCCAGCTCCTTCTGAAGGGCCGTCTTCTCCGAGACGAGCTTGTGCATCTGACGTCCATGTTGATGCACGTCGCCCTGAGAGATCGCCCCCAATCGCCGCTGTAAGTCCGGTGACAGCTGGTCCGTGTTGATAGCTGCCATCAGCTCCGTCAGCAATTTGCGATCCTCTCCTTGCGTCGCGGCTCCCAAGGATGGGGCCGGTGCAGTGGGCGCAGGCGTGCGCGTCGGAAGGGTTGCCACTGGTGCTGTAGGGAGGCCTTGTAGCGTAGGGATCTGTTGCCCTTGCTCGGGCGGCTTCCCCTTGGGGGCCGGCTTTCCTTTCCCACCTTTGCCCATCTTGGCACCCTGTCCTTTGCCCCTCGATCTCGGCGAGGGGGCTCTCCATGGTGCTCCGCCCCTCTGCCGGGGGGATGGGTGACGTTCCCATCCTGAGGCCTGCCATGGAGCATCCACCGCGTACGTGGCATAGGTCTCCGTCTCCTGCCACTGATCCCACGATGGCTGTGGGGCGGCCTGCCAGGGCTTTCCGCATTTCCCGCAGAAACTGGCTGAGGCCTTGACCTTCTGTCCGCATCCGCATGTCCAGGGTTGCTTGGCTGCCATTGCTTCCGTAGCCAGGCCCAGGATATGGTACACTTTCACCGGCAATGTGGATGCCGAGTGGTGGTTCTGCAAGCGGTCGGCCGCTCTCTTCGCCTCCAGTCGGGAGACGGGCGCCCCACTCGTGAAAGCTGTAGCCGCGGCGTTGTTCCAGATCAGACTTACCAGGAGACCCAGGAGGTAGATCCAGCTCATCAAAATATCAAAACTTGACAAACCAGGCAGGGAGCCACCCCTGCAGGAAAAGGCAGCAACCTGGGATTGACCGTCGGCCGAAGCAGCGAAAGTCAATACTCAGGAAGCACGAAACAGATAAGAAACCCGTCCGTGGGGAGCTCCAGCTGCGATGCAGGGAGCGTGAGCGTGAACCTCGCCAGGCGTACAGTTCACCTCGTTGGCCACCCAAAGCCTCGTAGAGGTCGCAGAGGGATAGCCGCCAAAAATCGTGGGTCGATAGACCACACTAGGCTTGGCCGCAGGGCTGGACCGCTAGGGAAACTACAGCCTGGGCCAAACGCTTGTGGGTGAGGGTTTCGGGTCTAGGGTGAAGCAAGCCGCAAGCAGCACAAACACAATAAATTGTTTTGCTTCCCACCTTCTTTTGTTCGGTTTCCTGTCATAAAAACTAGAGGCAGTGCGACCACAAGAACCCCTCTTGTTTTCCCCTCCTTCTGCTCCGGTTGGGTTAATGTTTCGCATTCAGTGTCCGTCGCTTGCTGCTGCTGCTGCTACTGCTGCTGCTTACCTCCTCCTTTTCCCGGTGGGTCATTGTTTAGAACATTTAGGTTTGGCGTCCAACACGCTTTTTAGTTTGACATGACTACGCTTCATTCGAAGTTTACAAACACATCCAACATAGGGTGTCTGAGAAAGAACCTGCATAAACTTGTTACTGGTATCTGTTGTGATATCTTTCCGTTCAACTCACAACACACACACAGACACTTTTGGGGGTGAGCTCCTGTATGAACACTTCATGACGTGCATGGCGCAGTTGCCTGCTCCCTCATGTCGTGTGCTGCTTTCTTTCAACCCTGAAGCCCTGGCCAACCATGTCATGATCTCTTTGATGGCGGTGACACCTCGGGGTGGTTTCTGAATTTCAGTCTGTTCTTGATTGACCTCTGCCCGGTGTCGTATGTTTCCCTTGTTCGGGCCACAACACCCACCCACCCCTGCTCAGGGTCCTGCTTGCCCCCTGTTCGGGGCACAAATAGCTCCGGTGTGCTGAGATCTGCCCCTACGCGGGGCCCGTCACCCCTGTTCGGGCACGCTTGGCATCGACCACGGCGTTGTGCCTGACACCCTATTTGGGCTGTTTTTGTAGACTTAAAGCGAAAACAAAAATGAGTTCACGACGTAGCCGTGACAAAAGAATAACGTGTGTTGGATATGTAATTTCTTGACCCTAAACTCTAAAGTTCCTGAATACTGACGCACGGGGGAAGGGAAGAGGGCGTGTTCTTTCTACGACGGACACTAAACGCGAAACACTAACCCAGCCGGAGCGGAGGACGGGGGAAACAGGAGAGGTTCTTGTGGTCGTGCAGCCTCTGGTTTTTTTGACACGAAACCGAACAGGAGGAGGTGGGAAGCAGAGCAAGTTCTTGCGTTTGTCCTGTTTGTTGTTCTCTTCACCCTGGACCCTGAACCCTCACACACCCGGAACAGGAAGAGGGGGGAAGTTCTTGCCATGGGCCCAGCAAGGCTTTGTCCCGTGGAATTTTATGACCCAACGCCTCCAAAAATGATACATAACTCGGGACCTGAATGCTTTGAGTTTTGCCAAGAAGTAGCAGAAGCAAGCCTTTGCACCACCTACGCCCTGAGCCATCACGAAAAACACACGTGCGACCTGAAACCCAAAATCATGTGAGAAGCTTGGTGTAGATTGTAGACGGATTACTGCACGACCACAGAGACCTCCAACATGACGCTACATAAATCCAAACTGAGAGCCGAGTGGCAACCCACCGGGACCACAGAACGGCAAACCGGCCACCCGTTCATCGAGTCTGGCACCTTCGGAGGTTCGAGGGTTCATGGATGTTCATGGTTTAGGGTTTGCGCGAGGGGAGTTGTGGCTTAGCGAGGATGCTGATTTATTTTGGTTTGGCGTCTGCGGCAGTAAGGGTGTGATTCGTGGCGTTGTCTCAATGCTGTGAGGCTTGACAAAGCTTCTGTCAGGCGACAAGGGTTGGTTCATGCGGGCTTGAAGCGGTCAGCAAAGGCATGCTGGTCCCCAGATCAGGCCTTATAAATGGCGAGATCTCCACCCTCCCAGCTTGAGTAGACATTCACCTCGGATGGCTTCAAGATGCTTCAAGATATTGACCCGATGGGAGCAAATAGCACTTGCTGCTGCCAACTAGCAGTACTGCCGGTGCTAGGATGTAGCGCATCTTTGGCTATAGTCTATCGTTGACATTATACTAGATCACGGACTTAACGTCTTCGCACGCAGCTCTAACAGACTCTAACACCCCTTGTGGGGTAAGACAAGAGCTTAAAAGCCACTCTGCCTTCGATACTTTTAGCAGCCAACAGCCCAACAGCAGTAAGATTGCACTTCGCACGGACCCCATAAAGTTAAGCTGAGGGATGCACAGGTCTTTATATAAATAGGGCGAAGATTGGATTAGATCCTAAGACATTCTTCCGTGCCAGGCACCAGGGTGGCTTCTGGAAAGCTGCTTTGAAACTTCCTCGCCGTGTGCAGTGGCAAAGCTTCGCCGCAGCTATACACCACTTTCCTGAGCTGTGTTTAGGGTCCACGCCGAACCCGGCAGCAGCTTTCTGGACACTAGGTGGACATTGTGAACATCACATATAAATTTCTGGCCCAGCTTCAGACTTCGGAGCACGTTTGCACGGGTCTGAATCTCCGGCGCATCAAGCAGGGCACGGAGGAGAGACGGTGTGGCCAGGAATCGTGTGATGGCATGCTTCTTGATAAACCCGAGGAAGGAAGATGGATCGGTCACCACAGAGTCTGGGATGCAAGCCACATCTGTGCCCTGGACAACCCCTCGCAAAACCTCCCATGAGAACATGATGTTCACACCCTCCTTCTCTCCAGCCGAATAAGGAAGAACATGAGCTCTACTCAGGTGACCGAAGCTAGCGCTGCGATGGCTGCATACAACCATCTTTGGCTTTCCTGAGGTCCCAGAAGTGAACACAAGGTAGGCTGGGCTGTTAAGGTCCACCACGTCCTCAATGCGGCAGAAAAGGGATGGAGCCAATAACCCTTTCCACGCACTTCCACCAGAGTCTCCAAAGCGCTCGTGCATGACAACGCGCATGCCTTCTGCCTTGACTTTGTGCAGGAGGTCTGCTGCTACCAAGAGAAGACGAGCTCCAGCCAAATCCAAACTCTCTGCAACCAAATCCGGGGGAAAGGACTTGTCCAGCACCATCATGCAGCCGTTCGACTGCCAAATTGCGAGCATGGCTGTGACGAAGGCAATGTCATGATGCAGCCTTGCGCGTTCATGCAAATGCAAGCCGATCACTGCAGCGAGTGGATACAGCAATGGCAACGCGGCACCGACACACACAGACACAGAGATAGATATAGATAGATATATATATATATATATATACACACACGCACACATGCACACATGCACACACACACACACAGACACAGACACAGACGCAGACACCACCCACCCACCCACCCACCCCGCCACCCTCACCGCCACCCCCACCCCACCCCCACAGAGAGAGAGCGAGAGAGCGAGAGAGAGAGAGAGAGAGAGACAGAGAGAGAGAGAGAGAGAGAGAGAGACAGACAGGCAGGCAGGCAGGCAGGCAGGCAGACAGACAGACAGACAGCCAGCCAGCCACCAGCCACCAGCCAGGCAGCGGCAGGCAGAGAGAGCGAGAGAGAGACAGACAAACAGAAGAGAGAGAGAGAGAGAGAAGTAGAGAGAGAGAGAGACACACACACACACACACACAAAACAACAACAAAACCAACGAAACCGGCATGACAAACACAAAGACGAACAAAACGAACAACACGTGCGTTCTTTACCCGCTTATCCGAACGAGTGGGTGGCGGAGTTATGCACGAACGAGAGGATGCTGAGATATGCTGAGATTAACCCCCTCAGCCGACCGAACGGGCGGCGGAGTTAAGAGAGACGAACCCCTGTACCGACCGAGCGGGCGTAAGGCTTCACGTTTGCAATAGGACTGAGGCACGGGCTTCGACTGATAGGATCTGCCGAAGCTATATAGACTACACGACCCATATTCCGGCAGCGTCCTTCCTCGCCATCATTATTGAACGAGCATCAACACGAACACCAGCCTCGACAACACGAATATAGTCATCATGAGGAACAGGAGCAGCAGCAACAAGAGCATCAGTACATCACTTTCACTGTCAGACACTGATTGCTAGTTTTCCCCCGCTCAACCGAGTTGTGGACGAACAGGAGAATGCGTAGACTAACCTTTCGATCCGACCGAACGGCAACGAACGAGCACGAAAAACGAAAATGAACACAAAAGACGAACACGAACATGAAAACCAAGACGAAAACAACCACAAACAACGAAAACGACAAAAACAACAACAACAACAACAACAACAACAACAACAACAACAACAACAACAACAACAACAACAACAACAACAACAACAACAACAAGAAGGTACAAACAAAAACTGCAGCCCCGTCAACCCATATATCTGCTTTTTGTCTGTACATTAGGTAGAGACAAAAACAGGAGCCCCGTCATGTTGTTTTACCCCCCCCCCCAACAACAACAACAACAACAACAACAGAGTGCCTGTGGATGCCTGTGATGTATACTGTTTGGTGTGTATTTTCAATGGATTTCGTCTGTACTTCAGTGGATTTGGTGTGTATTTCAATGGATTTCGTGTGTATTTCAGTGGATTTCGTGCGTATTTCAGTGCATTTCATGTGTATTTCGCTGGATTTGGTGTGTATTTCAGTGGATTTGGTGTGTATTTCAGTGCATTTGGTGTGTCTTTCAATGATTTTGGTGTGTATTTTCAATGGATTTGGTGTGTATTTCAGGTCCCCGCCGTGCAGAATATGCATTTGCGAGGCCTGTACAAACTACTGTATAGTGACTGGTAACTATAGTTTTGAGTGTACGGGTATCCAATGCAAACCCCTCAAAATTCCAGACAAGCCCTTCCAACACCCATCAGAACCCCTTCTGGATATCGCAGATTCTTATACCTGTGGTGGAAATGTGGTGTAATGTGGGCGGTTGTTGTAAAGGGGGGGTGGTCAAAACAACAGACGGGGCTCCAGTTTTTGCCTCTACTACAGGGGGTAGAGACAAAGTCCTGATTTCGCTGGTGCCTTTGTCTCTACCCCCTGTAGTAGGGGCAAAAACTGGACCCGTCTGTTGTTTTGACCCCCACCCCTTTTACAACAACCACCCAGCCTACACCGCATTTCTATCATGGGGCAGGCATGGCTTGAACTTCCCAAAACTCTACGGGCACCCTATGTGGTCGCCGGAAGCATTCCCAATTGCTTCTAATTAACAACAAGTACGGGCTGCTGTTTTTGTCTGTACCAACAACAACAACAACAGCAGCAGCAGCAACAACAACAACACCAACAACACCACCACCACCACCAACAACAACAACAACAACAACAACAACAACAACAACAACACCAACAACAGCAACAGCAACAGCAGCAGCAGCAGCAGCAGCAGCAACAACAACAACAACATCAACAACAACACCAGCAGCAGCAGCAGCAACAACAACAACAACAAATACAAATTAATCCCGCCTTGTCATGCTGAGTTTGAGAATAATGCAACTTCGATCACCTCACCCTTTCCCTTCCGTACCCAAACGCAAACAAGTGGACAAATGGTTTTCATGCTTTTTCACGTTTCGGGCTGGGAAAAATCACGAAATCAAACTTTTTCCCCCAAGCAGCACTTCCAACTCGAAACCCGCCGGCTCTTGAAGCGCTTTGCCAACTTTACACCCCGAACCCCAAACCATACTCTTCGTACACATACAAACAAAGAAGCCGAATGAACATAGTCTACAGATCCCAGTAGCAGACAACAGTAACAATCAAGATATACCTGGCCAGGCGGCAGGATAGCCACCGTGGCACGCTGAACATCGCCAAGGCCAACTGCCAAAGAGTAGCTTCGAGCCCGCAGCTCCCCGAGTGAGACTCTCTCGTATGTGTCCTGCGGTTCTTTACGGATTGGGGCTCAGGGCTTCGCAAGTTCAGCGTTTGATGTGTTGATGCATTGTTGCCTTGGTTGGCAGTTGTGGATGTTTCAGTCCCTCTTGGGCTACAGGGGAAGCACTCGGCCTCAATCGTCGAAATGTTTGGAGGATGTCGCGAAATCAAGGTTGTCAAAGCACAAAGCGGCGGCGATGGGTTTTCTACCCAACCGCCGAAACGCGAATGCACACTTGCAGGAAGGACGCGGAGAGAGCTGCGGAGCCTTTCAACCAAGTAGGCGTGCACCTCCTCCCACGCATCTTGCCAGTAAAAGTGCCCTCCGGCGAAGCCTTTGAGCTCAAAGTCTTGGCAATGGGAGTCCCATTCCTTCAAACGTGAAGAAGGCAGTTGGTAGGTTCCGACAGTCAAGTGTTCAAAACACAACGTCACAACGTCCTGCATGTCTTCCAAAGAGATGGCCGTGTCGGAAAGACCGACCAAAGCGATAACGGCGGTTTGCTGCATTCTGAACCTGGGCTTGCTCGAAAACCGGCCGTGTCTCAGGGTTGCGGTTTGATGCTTTTCTGAAAAAAAGGCCGAGCTCAACCTGAACCTGGGAACGGCGGCATGATGCAGGAATAGCTGTTATACATCTCCTTGGATGTCATCGTGGCCAAAAGCACCTTTTTTCACAAACTCTGCACATCCTGGTCAAATAGTATTCGATGTTGGAGCTCATCGGCTTTTCTGCCCCGGCGCAACAACAGCTCCGCTCTCAACCAAGCCGAGTTTCCAGATCAGCTTGCAACGTCGGGAGGAACGTTGACACGGATTCATTCTGCAACATTGATGCCTGAAAGCTTTGGTTGTCTCTGGTTTCGACATCATGGCCGTATCAACAACATTTTCACCGAGTATCGTATCGAACCGCCCGCTCCCGTACCGAACCGAACCACATGCTCTCACAGAAGGCGTACAGGAGCACAAGCACACAGGAGTCAAATGGCTTTAGGCGCACAGATGCACCTTTCCACCCTGCCCCCTCCCCCTCCCCCACCTCCTCTTCCACCCCACCTCTCCCACCCTTCCGCCACCCCCTCCCACCTACCACCTCTTGCACAGGACTCGAGGAAGAACACGAGACCAGGCAACCAGGGGATGGGTTCGGCTATCGCAAGTCTCCACCAAGCAGCTAACAAGGCATGCTTATTGTAAGAGTGATCCATGAACAGTCCCACACAAGGCTTCACGAAACAAAGCAACAAGCACTAGGACAAACTGCAAAGACCTCCTTGGAGAGAATCCCGAGCTTTGAAAGCAGTGGCAGCATCTCCGATGGCTTCATCTTCTGCACGTTTTGTAGCCCCGAAATCTTCTTCCATGGTGGTGCCTAGGATTTGGTAAGACCATGGAACGGAGCGCATTTGTTCAATGTTTGACATGGCCTGATACAATTAGAGCCAACTTGTGGCTAAAGGAGGAAGAGGGTGTCACTTCGGAAGTTTCAGGACGTGTTAGTAAGGATCCCAGCCGGGGGGGTTTACGAAGCCAAGCTAAGCACAGCCCATCTAAGGGAAGCCAAGGCACATGCGAACTGGCAAGAAAAAGGGTCGGCTGCTGCAGGCCCTGAGAAGCAAGCAACCTGGCGACCTCGAAGCCCAGCAATGCACCAAGCGAGTGTCCCAAGATTGCCTTGGCTGATGTGGCCTTCCAGCTCCTACTACTGTCGACTGTCAACAACATGTGCTTCTTCCATGCAGCTCAACTTCCGAATCTCTTCGAAGAGATTGAAAGCGAGCATGCGTACCGTGTTACACGGTACGCATGTTTCCACCCCATGGGGTTCTTGGCAAGATTTGGCAAGAGACACGGATTGCAAGACGCATTGCGGGGAAGGTTTGAGAGGTGCAGCCTTGACAGTTATGGCCAGATTTGGCTCGGCTCTGTCCATTAGCTGCTAAAGTGCGAAGGGGACCCCATCCAGGAAGAAGGCGTGCAGCCCCAGAAGGATTTCGTTGACAGCAGCCTGCCAATCCTGAAGTGTTGCACTATGCACGCAAGGCGTGAAGAGTGTTTTGTGGGAACGCCGGTGAAGACCCCCAAAAAACTTCAGCAAGATATCTGGTCAAGAATTTCTGGGTAACGTCTTGTGCTGATGCAGGAAAGTGTTCGGCAGGCTGAGTGCCCACATTCCCTGTGCGAATGGATCAAGATATCCAAATCCCTGCACCAACATTGCGAGATGTTGCGAGCCTAGAATCTCTGAAAGGCTTCTCGTGCAGCCTGCTCCCGCGCCCGGGCAGTCGGACGGACCAAACTTCCAAGCACGGATCGTCCAGCGCCCACGATCGGAAGGACGATGCATCCCCTGAGCTGAAAGTGTAGCTCCCATGTAAATGGACTGTCGATACTGTTTTGGGCCTTTGTCCTGATGGTCATTCCGAAGTAGATCTTCTCCATTAACTTTTTTGTACTCAGAAGCTCTCTTGCAGCTAACTTGAAGCACCATGGACAACCGAGGTTCCGCCACTGTGAGGCACACACAAAAGTCGAAGATGCGGTGTCTCCTCCACAGGGACACATCAAGCCTGCTCCAGTCTCAACACAGCTTGCTTTCTCCCAGTACTCCTTCGCCTCACCTATTCGTACGAAGCCCGGGTGCTCCATAGCGCGGGGCAACAGTTCACATATAGTATATAGCTGGCATGCTTCGGAAAGAGCTCGGAAACAAAAGTTAAGCCCAGCTGCACTTTGACAGTATGTTAATCTGCGGCTGCTAGATTACACGCATGGTTCATGCTTCTTCACATGAGGCCTGACCGGGCCAGAAAAACTTGGGCCGAATAATCCCGGTCAAGTTCTTTTCTCCGTGCGTGCGGTCAGAGGATACAAGCGACCTTGACCCGCAGCTCTTCTCAGCTCTGTATTGCCCTATGGACAGTGTCCAACGCTCAGCCTCTGATTCAGTTTGCACTATTGAAGCGACGAGGCCATAGAGCAACAGTATCGTGATCCGGTACCTTGGCAGTCTACTTTGCTACCAGAATGAAGCTCCATGGCCAGGCACTTGGGGTTCAATGTCTTGTCTCAGGTTAGAACTGAGCCATAGGACATTGGCGTTATGGCCACGGGAAGCAAGGATTCCCCGAGCAATAGGCGGAACATAGCGGAACCATAGACTTGGCAAATGCGTCCTAACCCTGGGGCATGGAGCAGAGGCCAGAATAAGAAATGTAGGGGGCTACGTGTCTTATTTTGATTATTGTCTACTATAGAATGGGCTCGAGCCCCGGCTAAGAAATGAGCAAGAAACGAAGGGTACCCAACAATCCAGAAGTTGGGAAATGCGGAAATGCGAACGTGACAGGAAGCTCCGACATGAAGTGTACCCAAGGCTGGAAGCTGGCATTTCTTATCCAGCAGATGCACTGCAATGGAAGTACTCATACACACTATGGTTCATTAAACCAGAATACTAGAAGCTTTTCCGTAGTTTTTGCTTGCCGAACCGTACATTCTAAGCCCTACGCCAAAACCCCAAACCCGACACCTTAAACTCAAAACCCCAACTCCGATCAGCAACAGCCTTCTTTGAGTAAGATCAGGCACGGCGTGTGGGATGCCCAAGCGAATTAAACACTATCAGTGTAACACTATCAGTGGCTTGCATGGCTATTTGCCTGCACTCACTGCTTGCAACAGGAGGAGGCGGCTTTCAATGCCGGGTCTTCAACCAAGTGAAAGCCAGCAATGGCTAGCAAGAGCAACAATGCAAAAGTCAAGCACAAGCTCGCAGCATCCCGCAATGTGTACTGATACCAAGCGAAGCACGTGTTGTTGACCCGACAAGAGGCAACGAAGTCGCCTGCATCAGTTGGGTAATACACACCCATCATCCTCATGACCGGCTCTTGAAAGATATAGAACCCATACGCCACTGCGCCAAACTCCACCAGCCACTTGCTTGCGAACAACTGTCCGAACATGCTTTCACAGCGCCCAAAGCACAAACTCCAAACCACGAAAGCAGTCAAGGGGCAATGCACGTGTAGATCTGTCCATAGATACACGTAACTATTCTTTGGCACGAGCGCAAGGACAACATACAGCATTATGAGCACGTCAGCCACTTTCACGGCCACGCTGCCTGGCGAAACATACTTTGCAAAGTGAGGGACGAGCATCCCCAAGGCAAAGTCCGGTATGCGGAATGGCGCAAAGCTGTACCATGGCACGCGACCGAAGAAGATCAAGTCGTGCCGATACCAGAAGTCCCCCACCTGCGGATGGCTTGAAGATTATATAGACTATCAACAGCTGAGATTTGTAAACAGGGAACGACCCGGGACGCTCGCAATGCTTTTCGCTGCTTCGTCAGCGCCTCGAAGCCGCCTTTGGCGAGGATGCACGTCGCGGAGCCCACAATCAGCAGCTTGGCCAGACAGCAGCAAGCACCCAAGAGCAGAAGCCGCATACCAGACGTTGCCGGTCTTAACAAGCAGTACTCAAGGAGCGGATACAGCAAGGAGATGAAGATGATCTTGCGCGTTCAAAAACGACTGCTGTTTCGGGGGGTCTTGGAAAAAATGGGCTTGAAAAGGGCAACTATCCTGTGCTAAATGATGCAGCCAAAGTCGAGCAAAGGCACTGCGTGCATAAACCAATACGTTGACACTGTTCCAGGTATCCCATTGAGCAAGAACACTTCTCGAGGATCATGTGCGACCAAAGCGGCAAATGTGTTGATGCAACGCCAGACAACTTGGAAAGGCTGTAAAAGCAAAGAGACAGCTGTCACAGGCTGTGGCAGTGTCTCATGCCAAACATCTGCGAGACTCAGCACCACAAAGTAAAGCGGATAGAGCCGGGCTGCTCGCATGAACACAAAACGAAAAGCCGCGGTTGGTGAAAACACTAAGAAGTTCTCCATGGCTTCTGTTGCTTCGGTTCCCCTAGCGGCCCGCGACATGCTCGTGGTGCAGCCTGCAAGGACCAGGAAGGTCCCGACAAATGTAATCGGCTCCAGTGTTGCATGCTCGACGAAGATGCATATTGCCGTGACAAACCTTAGGCCCGCCAGCGCTGGAACTCGCGTTGCCTTGGGAGGCCCGCTGCTATCCGCAGAGCTCGAGGTCGAGGCTTTCCAACCAAAAATAATAATTCCAACCTGGGACCGCTGCACTTTGCTTGTATAAACATGAACACAAAGGCCACTGTCAATGTAGTTTCCGAGAGGGCACTTTCAACAGCAATATTTGCCACAGGTACGTGCAGCCGAGAAACAAGGAGAGGTAACCAGAGTTGATACAGCACAGGAAGCAATGCCCCGGCATCTTGTGGGAATTGTTCCGCTTCGACGTCTGCGTGAAGTCCGGTAGCTCTTACAAGTCCGTGATCTGCAAGGGAAATGTCCGCAACTTCAAGATGTTCTTGAAGGTTTACGGCTGGGATGTTGCAAGTGGCAGCTTCGTGTTCTAAGCTCAAAAGCTTCCACGCAGGCTGCCTGTTTGCAAAAGTAGCACGACCGGCGAAGAGAAGTCCTGCAATCAACAATAGCTGTGGCTTGCTCAAAACATTGACGTAGCAATTTTGATAACCCGTTGTGAAAAGCTTCATTGACACACCTACGGCGCGGCCGTCCTCCACGTCCAGACACTCGCCCCTGACTGCAACAGCTCGAATCACCTCATGCTGCTTGCGCGGCTTGTCTAACCACCAACATGCTACCTACGAATCAAAGTTTGATGACAGTGCCCGGAAAACGCACCCTGCTCGATGGAAGGCCGAAACGCAAACACCAGGAGCGACATCATCAGCGTGCTCTGCCAAGAGAGTACTGCAGCACGCATGGACATGGCGACACTGTGCGAGATTGAAACGGTTCGGTTTTTCAGCTGAAACGGCTCAAAGTGTGCATGGAAATCATGCATTGCCTGCTTCGGCATCTTGCTTTCCGCACAGGCCAATCCAGATTCGCTCTGCTGGAATAGCAGTGGCGGATGCCAAACACTTGTCGGCATCAAAGCTCGCAGGAAGATGCATCAGGATTCATTGAACCTCTGCTTTCCCCAAACAGTATACTGTAGGAGCTCTAAACTTACTCAACAAGATCAAGCCGGGAACCAACAAAAAACCGTGTGCGCATGTTTGATGCGTGTTTTTGCTGCACGAGTAGAAGACCAAAAAGCATCCTCCAACTGTTTGGCATCCTCCCGCCTTTCCCCATATGCCATGTTTTATGGCCACCACTTCAGCAGCATCGAGACAACACCACTAGCATTGAGTCAAAAGCAAGGATAACAGAGTTAAGAAACTAACAGGGTTATGATGGCGGGAACCTATCTACCCTCGTATTATCCCAAACTCGTATTTGTATGTTTCAAGTGCATTGTCAAGCGCATGCCAGAAGTACAAGTACAGACCCAAGTACATCTCACAAGTACAGGTCCAAGTGCAGGTTCAAGATGCAACTCCAACCCAAGTACGATCCCCTGTTTCGTTCCATGATCCTGCCTGGATATTTTCATTTCGTCTCAATTTCGTTGCAAAAACCCTGCCTGGATGTTCTTGCATTCATTTCGTCTTAATTTCGCTGCAGTGATCCTGCGTGGATTTTCTTGCGCTCATTTCGTCTTAATTTCGCTGCAGGGAACCTGCCTGGCTATTCTTGCACTCATTTCGTCTTAATTTCGCTGCAGTGATCCTGCCTGGATATTATTGCGCTCATTTCGACTTAATTTCGCTGCAGTGATCCTGACTGGATATTCTTGCGCTCATTTCGTCTTAATTTCGCTGCAGTGATCCTGCCTGGATATTCCTGCGTTCATTTCGTCTTAATTTCGCTGCAATGATCCTGCCTGCATGTGCTTGCGCTCATTTCGTCTTAATGTCGCTGCAATTACCCTGCCTTGATATTCTTGCGTGCATTTCTTCTTAATTTCCCTGCGATGATCCTGCCAAGATGTTCTTGCGTTCATTTCGTCTTCATTTCGCTGCAACGATCCTGAACGGGCTGTCGTAATTTCGTTGCTATGACCCTGCCTCTGCCTAATTAGATATGATCGTGTTCATTTCGTCTTAAATTCGGTGCAATGATCCTGCCTGGATATTCGTTGTTTCATTTCGTCATAATTTCGTTGCAATGCTCCTGCCTGGACATTCTTGCGTTCATTTCGTCTCTATTTCGTTGCAATAACCCTGCCTGGATGTTCTTGCGTTCATTTCGTCTTAGTTTCGTTGCACTGATCCTGAATGGGTATTCTTGCATTCATTTCGTCTTCATTTCGTTGCAGTGATCCTGCCTGGATATTATTGTGGTCATTTCGTCTCAGTTTCGTTGCAGTGATCCTGCCTGGATGTTCTTGCGTTCATTTCGTCTTAACTTCGTTGCGACGATCCTGCATGGGAATTCTTGCATTCATTTCGTCAGAATTTGGTTGCAGTGATCCTGCCTGGATATTATTGTTTTCATTTCGTCGTAAGATCGTTGCAATGATCTTGCCTGGATATTCGTGCGTTCATTTCGTCTTAACTTCGTGGCAATGATCCTGCCTGGATACTCTTGCGTTCATTTCGTCTTAATTTCGACGCCGATCCCCGACGGTGCTGCTGATGCTGGAGGACCAAGAAAGGGCGTAATGAGTAATGCGTAATGTCCATTGGGCCCATGGTCGATGCTGGTACAATCCAAACTGACTCCGCTCGTGGAGACACACCTGGCTTGTCTTGTCTGGGGATCGCAGCTGAACGTATACTTACTAACTTAGTAGCTCGGCACAGTTTCCTGGCCGAGTTCCTGGGGATCGTACCTGGAACGTACTGGTATCGGACGGACATTGTATTGTCGTGAAATACTTGGGATCGCACTTCGGAGGTCGCAGATCAACATGTGCTTTCCTGGTCCTGGCTGGGTTTGTGCGGAGTCGACCTCCGGCCTAATGGACATCGTACCTGGACCCGTACAAAGCATCGGACCGACATGCATGCACTGCATTAAAACTCGGGTCTTGGGAACCTAAATTCCGGACTTGGGGAACCTAAATTTCAATTTTTGGCTCTGCTGCACAAACTGAAGCTGAGGGTTCAAGTACATTGAAGTGAACAGTGCGAAGCACCGGATCATCAAACAGCGACGGGGAACTGTTATAGGTAGACTGAAAACCCACTGTTGTCGTTCTGGCGCCTTCGGCCTGTACCCTCTAGAACCGTGCCACTGTCTGCGCTCAAAGCTCAACTCGACATGCACCCACTTCTTTGCATCCATGCCCATTGGGACCGTCGCACACCAACCCCTAAAATCCAAATTTTTCAACCCACAAGGGCAAAATCCGGCGGAAATGCAAGAACAGCTTCAAGCAAGACAACACAGTTGCTTGATGGTCTGCCAAGAGTAAGAAAGCCATATCATCGAGATTTGCTCCAGCTGTAAGCAGACCTGCGTCGTTTGATTCCGGGCAGGATAGCAGTGTTTCTGAGGTGCGTACATGGCAATCGCACGATTAGGCTGCGAGCTTCATTTTCATGTCAATGAAGCCTTCGTTTTTCGGTTCTGTCGGCCCTCGCAGAAACCTTTGCTCGCCTTGGCTAGTGGCTTCTTGTCAGGCAAGCAAAGCACTCAATCCAGGAAGCAAGCAGCTCTTTTGATGCCTTCTCTATCAGAGTCGGTCCAGCGCAATTCCATGTCCAGGCGCGCCTTCGTCACTGCGAACCTTCTACCACAAACCGCCTACACCGCCCGCTCAGACAAGTACACCCTGCTGGCTTCAATTTTGAGGTATTCTACCCTGGGAAGCGAAATTTGAGACCATTGATATAAACACAGCGTTGCAGTGTCGAGTCTGCGTCTTCCAAATCAAAAGCAAGCATCGCCGGATCCGAAGATCGTCATCTGCAATCCCTGGAAAAATCCAGGAGAACGGATCGGGCTTTCTGCCAAGTTCAACAACCACCTAGGTGCGAAACCCTCAAACCCTATAAGCCCTTAAATTTTAGATCAGCGTTTGAGCCCTTGAACCCGAAAACACCTTGACCCTAAAACTTGTGTGGCCTCTAATGCTTTAACACCGGACAGCCCGACAGTCACAAGGCATCCACATGTCTGCCATGCACGATGCTGACATTCAGCTGAGCCCAATGCTGCGCAGTTGGCTCAGTTGTCTTCGTCTCCACTTGGCTCGTCGCTTCGTCGCCTGCTGACTCGCGGTCTTGGAGGTCCAGGGGCACCACAAAGCGGCTGGACTCCTGGAGTGCCAGAGATTCACTGTGGGATGCTGTGGCATTGTCGCTCACATTCTCACGCCCTCTTGCTTGAAGTAGCGCTTGAATCGGTTCTTGGCGCTGTCCAGACGGTCCAAACCGCCGAAAGGCCTCCACCGAACGCAGGGAAGTGAAGCGAAGTGTAGATTGGTGGCTTTGGAACTCCGGGGCTCGTCTCCGGGTAAACCTGCAAGGGCCAGGGAGCCGCGCCTGAAACAATGCCTCTTTGCTCCACTGGGCTCCGACCTGCCCAGCTGGCTGCAGCATGTCAGAGGGTGCCTCATTGAAGGCAACCACTCCACTAGAGTCTAGGTCTAGACAGTCTAGACTCCTAACTGTTGCTAGACTCTGCTAGACGTCACTAGGGATGCCCTAGCCGGGGCGGTGCCTCAGGCGACATGCTCACCCTCATAACTCTTCGAGAAAGTCTGCATGGCTCCCGGCCGTGAAATGGCAGGAGGCTTTCCATCGCGGCGACGGAGTGCATGGGACTTGCCTTCCGGCGGCAGAAGTGCCTTGACCTGATGCCAAGTGCACAAATGAGCTCAGGAGGACGATGAGAATTTCAAGTTTTTTGGCTCCCAGCGAAAGGTCAACGAGGGATGACGAGAAGTCCGCGCTCGTCCACAATACGCCTTCGGCAAGTGAAGGCCGTCTTCTGAGATCGGTGCGAGACAAACAGCTGCCAACTGCTGCCTACCTACATCGCACAAGCGCATGCACCCGATGTCTGGATGCCTCAATGAAGTCAGCGGGCAATCTAAAGTAGACCTCAATTGAAACAGCGCTGCGGGAGTAAATGAGCTTCTATCCGGGCCCAAGGCCGTGCTCCCCGTCCTGTCCGCATCCACGCGTGCAGTGGTGTCTAGCACGAACGGTACGTAGACGACCTGAGCTTTTTCAGATGCTCTTGAAAGGTTCCGACATTGAGGCATTCGAGTGGAGGGCCCGCTCGAAGTTGGGGTCTGCGGGACCGCCCTGACTGCAGAATTTGATCGACTGTACCACAAAGAAAGCATCGCGCATGGATCGTTCACCGCAGACTGAGCTCGCCACTGGCCCGTGGGGGACTCCTTGAACAGGCCATCCCAGGTAACAGGCAAATGCAACACTTGTCTCTTAGCAAGGGACCGGATCAGGCTCGTACAAATACTGGCCCTCGCCTCCCTGCACCTGCAAATACCCGCAAGGCAACTGTCGAAATGCTGGTTCCCAGGTCTGTTTTTTCGGGTCCTCTTTTACCAATGTGATGTCCAGCAGGCCGTGTGCTGCCTCCGGGCAGAGCCTTGAGCTGAGCGAAACCTGGAAAGCTGCTGTCGCTAATCGCGCCTTTCGGCCCCGATGCCGTCGTGCCCGAAAAGGCTGCGATCAAGGGGCATACTGGCTTCCTTGCGCTCCCCATGTCTCCCGATGCTGCGCCACGGCGAAGACATGCTGGAGGCCAGCACCTGCCTGAGCCAAGACCTTCCGGAGCAAAGCCGACTCCAAAGTCAGCGTCCAAGCCCAGCAACAGCCCAAGCATCCCAGGCGCCTCCTTGGCTTCATCTGCAGTCTCAGCTGCCGCAAACTCGCCCAGGACCTCATTGGTGACCTCTTTACACTCCGTCTGGCGTCCACCTCACCACCCTCACAGGAGGCAGAGCGAGGCGGAATATCGGTCGGCTCACGTGAAGCATGAGGATATCCGAGGAGGCCACAGAAACCTCTGAGGCGAAGAGGAGGGATTCTTGCGCTCCTCGTGTCAAGTCTCAGCTACGAGCTACGACCCACGCTGCATCTCAAACGCTGGGCCTCCCAGCCTTTCCAGGGTCCACGCAGATCCTTGGCTGCCCGAAGCAAATTCCTGAAGTACCATTCAAGCCCTCTGTGGATTTGGCCCGGGTCCGAGCACCCGTTCGGGCATGGTTCGGTATTGAACCATGCAGCAAGACAAGACCCTTTCGGCAGAGTAGTACAGTAACAGTGTATAATTCACTGTAGTATAGTTTAGTTAGTTTAGTTCGGCGTTTTTTGTACTATAGTATATACGACGTTTAGTGTACGGTAATTTCCCCCACGTTCAGCCTTTCGGGGCTGGGGCTGTTGGTGCTCAATTCCGGATGGGACGATTCTACTTCAAAGCCGGCACAAAAGATCACAAAAGCATCAGCTCCAAGGCATACTCCTTCCTCGCCCTGTGAATTCATTTGTGGGGTTTTAACTTGCAGGCTGCCGGCTTGTGCCTGAATTGGGGCCTCTGCTCCCACCAAAACAGAATTTCTTCAGAATCTAGAGTATTCGTGTATCATCCATCTATAGTCTGTAGTGTGCTTTAGACACAGCTTTCAGTACCAGCATGCCCAAGCCCTGCCTCAGGAGCCTCGTCTTGAAGAGAACCCAACAACAGTTCGCCGAACGACTCAGCGTGCGGACTCAGACGTAGATTGCGGATTGACTGCGGGCTGTCTGAGTGCAGTGCTCGGCGCGGCGTTTCAGGCTTGGCCTGCAGACTTCAGAGACATTACGTGAAGGGCAGGCAAGTTTTTGCAACCACACTATGGTCCTCGTCGATGAAAGTGTTCTTCACGATCAAACCACCTGGGAATAATAAGAGGAATGCAGCAAGAAAAATGGGACACTGAGTTACGTCGCGGACTGCGAGGCCTCTGATGCCATGCAACGCTCTCACGCTGTGAGGTGACGACTCCAGGACCTTTGGTGGGAAGGCCATGGCGCGAAATCGAGATGGAGTATACAGCTGCAGGGATTCGGAGCCTTGGCCAGGGGATCTGCGGGCGGCAGCCAGGCAAGGTGCGAAGCCACTAACGATAAAAAATACAAAATTCAATTCTGACCAGCTGCGGCCATTTACCTCCGCAATCAGGCACGGCGTGTGGGATGCCAAGACGAATTAAACACTATCAGTGTAACACTATCAGTGGCTGCCACAACGTTACATGGCTGCTTGCCAGTACGGTGCTGTCGTGGCATTCGAAATTGTTTAGATCACGTGGCTTGCAGTACTTTCTCCAGCGCATACCACTGAGAAGACAGGATCAGCAGCTGATATGTTGCGAAGACATTGGGACCGAAGGCTTCCATCATTCCGCGGGTCACAGGGGGTGAGATGGATTTGGACCATGCATCTGTCAAGTAGGACAGCGTCACCAGGTTCTCCATGGAACGCCAGGTCCCATCTTTAGCGTGAAGGAATGTATTGCCCTCAGCGATCCCCACACAGCAAATCATACACGGATAAATGATTCCACTGCCAATAAGCAGGATGTACGGGCCATTGATGAAGTCGTAGAATGATAGGCAACCTATGAGGCCTGCGATGGACATGACAACGACCAGAAGGTTGTCACTGATGCTTAGGTTCTCGCGCAGCTGGAACATCAGCAAGCTGCCGAACGCCGCAACCATGTACACCACGCTGACGCCCAAGCTGATTGCATCGATGCCCCACGAGAACTGCACCTCGAGTAGAAGGGAGCTTGACACCTCCACGCCGGTATAGCCCACGGAGCCCAGGAACTGGCAGAAGAGCCCTGTCAGTGTAATCCAGGAGTTGGGCAGCTTCCCAGGGTTGCTTTCAGCCACAGTAGCCTCTTCGGCATCCTCCTGGGTGGGCTCCTCGTAGGTCGGAAGCCCTTCCATGCTTCGTGGCAAGCTCACCGCGTTCATGCAGGACACCAGCATCAAAAGGCCGCCGCAGGCCATGGCGCAGGCGCAAGACCGGTCCATGGCCGAGACGGGAGGGCTGATCTCAGAGAGCTTGCACAGTGTGGAGATGACCCACGGCAAGCCGGCACCCATCACAACGCCGCCGGTCCAGCTGACATTCACGAACATGGAGAGCCCCACCTGCTCGTCGCGAGGCGTCAGGACCCGGGTGATGGCACTGTTCGTAATGCAGCTGCCCTGAAGCAGTCCAACGAGGAATCGCAAGACTAGCCCTGCATAGTAGCCCCGGGTCCCCCCCAGGTGGAGCATGTGCGGCATGAGCAGCGAGAAGCCCCCAGCGAAGAGAGGGCAAAGTATGATAAGCCGGCGCCGGGAGTCGTAGGAGGCATTGCCAAGGAGCTGGCCGACGAGGAGGCCCAGAACGTTGCCAATCTGGTCCCAGGACAGGAAGAACCCTGAAGCGGCGGCGCCAAAGTGCCAAGTGGCCACCAGGTCCAAGGAAAGAGTCATGGGCCAGGCGTAGACCATCATCTGCACCATGCTCCGGAACACGTCAGCGGCCTGCAACCACCTCCTTTGAAAGGGGACAGTGGAGGGCTCCAGACCCAAAAGTTTCCGTGCGAACCACTTGCCGGGGTCTTCCACCACATGGCGGGACAGCCAGCCTAGGAGCAGCAAAGTCACCACAGTGAGGACCAGGTCCATAAGGTCCCCAAGGCTATGGTGCCACAGGTGGCGAGAGCTCTTTCCACCTGAGGACGGGTAGAAAAGGCCGACGGTTTGTAGCACGGGCTGCTGAAAAACGTAGAAGCCGTAGCTGACTTTTCCAAGCTGCACGAGGAAGTTGGAGCTGAGCAACTGCCCGAGCATGCTCTTACGAGATCCGAAGCACAAGGCCCAAAGAATCCAGGCCGTCACGGGGCATTGTAGGTTCATGTCGCTGCAAAGGGACGTGAATGGCGTCTGTGGCAGAAACGTGAAGACCAGCACAACGGCCGCCAGCACGTCTGCGGCCGTAACAAGCCCCGGAGCATCGGCAGCGATGTAAGGGATGAGCATGCCCAGGGCAACCTCCGGAAGTCGGAACAGCGCGAAGCTGTACCAGGGCACCTCAAAGCCAAGGAAGCTGTGCCGATACCAGGGGTCCTTCTCAAAGCCTCCATCGTTGAGGATGACCACGGCGAAAGCAACAACCACCATCTTGGAAGTGATGCACACGCCAGCCATGGCCAAGAGCCCTCTCTGAGTCCAGATGGGCCGGAACAGACAGAACTCCAAGAAAGGGCTTAAGAGGTAGACTATGACCACCACGTGCAACACCCAGAAGGTGGGAACGGTGCCCCCAGGCACTCCCTGCAAGAGAAACACCCGCCTGGGCTCATGGACCGCGATTCGCACGAAAGTGCTCACACACATAGAGATGAGATGAAAAGGGTTCAGGATCCAGTCTGCTCCAGCAACTTGCCCGTCCCAGACATCTTCCAAGCTGAGCACCAACCAATACACCGGATAAACACGTGCTACCCGCAGGAGCATCCATTGAAGCGCTGTTTTCGGCGAGTAAAGGAGAAAATTGCTCCCTCCGTCGCGAAGGTTGGGAAGGGGCTGGGGACCGGGCTCCGTCGGTGGATGTCTCGCCAGGCTCAGCAGGCAGCCGCAGAGCACCAGCAGGCAGCCGTCCCAGCTCAGGGGCTGAAGTTCCACGTGCTGGGCGAAGACGCCAAGAACAGCCAGAAAGGAGAAGCCGGTGAGAGCAGCCGTCCTCTCCATGGGCCGGGGAAACTCAGGCTCTGCCGCGCATGCAGTCACTGTCCATAACCTCCAAAACCCTGCTTTTGAATACTACACAATCTCGTAGCGAATTCTCTTAACACGTGCTGCATGATACACCTACGTAGTGCCACTTTGTTGCGTTAGATGCGCATCTAAGAAACTGTGTAAGAAGCGCCATCAACTGCTTCCAGACTGTGGCAGTCGGCATTGTAGACCTCAAACTCTAGATCGATTGTTTGATCGCGACTGGATTCTGCCGCACTATACACGCATCAGTGCAGGACTTGTTGACACCCCTGATATGTTGGCCGCGTGGTAGTCTTGCTCTTCTTTGTAGACACGTTTGCAGGCATTTCTCCGCTGTGGTTGGTTTGGATCGATGTATTGAGTTTTGCAACGAAGCCACGCAGGTTTTTCCGTCTGGCACGGGTCTTGAACGGAGTTCTTGACGAAACTCCCTTGCAGCAGGGTGTATTCTTGCGAACGTACGTTGTTGCAGTGGGAGCTTCCGAAATTCGTAGGTCCCTTTCTTGGGTGCTTTTTGGTTGTTTGTTTGGTCTTCGCTTCGATTCACCTTCTTTCGGAAACTCCCATATCGACCAAGTTCGGACGGCAGCCTGCAGAGAATGGTGTCTGGCAACTTACCATCCAGAGTCGTTTGAAGGCCACCCGAATGCCCATCGCCAGCAGAGATTGTGGTTCAGTTGCCAGATTGAATCTAAGTTTGCGGGGCATCTTGATTCCCCGCTGCTGGGCTGAGTTCAGGGTTGTCTGCTTGTCTCCATTTACGGTTCGAGTTTGCAAGGCCATTTGCAACAGGCAAGCTGACGCTTGGAAGCGCCTCTAGCCTAAGCCTGGAGGGCGTCCCAACTAAAGCTCCGTGACGAGATCCTGAGCTTAAAAGTCGCCCCGCATAGGGTGTATCGAACGAGATTCATGTGCTGCAATTGCAGGCCGGTTGTCTTTTTTCTAGATTTTTCCCCCGCTTGAACTCTGTGACGGAGGAGGGCAATGACGTTTTTCGGAGCCCTCCTGAGATGTTGAGAGGGACGTGGGAGGCAGGCTGCACCGTAAGTGCTAGTCGACACTCACTCACTCACTCACTCAAACTCTAGATCACCTATGACCGAAAATGGAAAGCAGCCTTGATGCCCGCATAACGCACGCTGCAGGCACAGAGGCCCTTCTACAAGAGGTCCTGTAGCAGCCTTGCAACTGCCAGTCCGCCTGGATCTATGCATCGCGGACTTGACGCCACTGATCGCTAAGCAAGCTATGGTAACTATAGATGAAAGCCGGATGCTTCGTGCTTGAATAGAGGAGTCTGCACACAGGGCAAGCCTCTTCCTCATGCCCAGCTTGCTGCACATTACATCCAGACTTCTTCTTACTACCTCGCAAGGACAAGCCCGTATGGCAGGGTTCGAAAGGTCGGAAGGCTCCACAATTCCCGGAAGAGAGGGCTGAACAAGATCATGAAAGTGCCATCAAGGCATCCAGACTTCAGGCATAACCTTTACAAGTATCGACTCTGCCCTGTTGTACAAGTCCCGACACGTGCGTCCTGTAAATGACCCACCCCGCACATACCCTCTCCGGCCAAAACCCTCGAACACCTTCAAGTATGAACACATGCATTCGTACCAGCAACGTGTCCTTGTTGGCGTAAGTGGCGCTACAATCGCGGTTTACTTCAAGACCATCCTAATGCATAAGGGACTGTGGACGCTTCAACGAACTCTTGGCCTTGGCCTTTGATGGAGTTTAAAGGACTGCCGGGCAAACAAGGCCAAATTGTAAACCCTGAAGAATGTCCTCGGGCATTGTAGGGCCACGCCGCCACGCCAACAGCACAGCACGAAGGCCAGGGTCAGAGGCAGGCTAAGCTGGGTGATGATGCCGACCAAGTGCCACGACACCTGACTCCAAGAGCCATGAATTTCAAAGGTTTGGGATGTTTGGGGGTATAGGGTCTAGGGAGTCTAGGGCTAGGGAATCAGGCTTTCGAGCTCATGGTTCACACAAGGCACGCTGCGAAAAACCGGCAGCATCCATGCTGGCTACGGGACGAGGGTCTGAGGTGAGTGCTACGTTACTTGGTCCCAGTACTTGGCATGGCCTGGATTGTCGCTTCAGGGACGTCAGAGGCACCCGACGCGACGAAGGTGCTGAGATGTCCTCCCAAGCCTGATTTCCGTTGAGGTCAGGTTGTGGGTTTTTTGCCTCCTGCTTAACGAGGACAACGGGTTACCCTGAAAAGCAAAGGGCTGTACGTTACATCAACTCGTCGATGAAGTCGGAATCTTATTGCAAGGACACCCAAAGCGGAACAAGCAGTCCGTCAAGCCCTAAACCCGAAACTCTACGTGTGCAGAAGCTGGTGGTACGCCTGCTTGCGTCTGGAGGAAGGACGTCTCTGCGGCTTGGCAATCCTTTTCAAATTTTCTCTGAGCTACAACTAGATCGGGGAGGTTCAGGTATTTTAACATGGCGTAAAATGATGTGAACCCTTGGCTAGTACAACCCTGCCTGTCAACAAAGATCTTAAACCAGAGTTCCAATTTAATGGCCCTCAAAGAAGGAGGATCTATTAATAAAATGCCTGTGCGCGTGTTCGAGGTCTTTCGGGAGTTTGCTGAGAGCATGCGAATGCATGCGACGTGCCAGCGATTTGCAGTCTACGGATTTGTAACAGCCCTTTCAGAATTGATAGGGCGTAGTCTCAGCGCTTGTCGGACTCTTCGAAATGCATCTTCGACTCTTCTGTAGGGTCTTCGAATGGTATGCGTTCTGGATTACCTGGCTGTTCACAGCTGCTCCTGGACGCTGGAACTGTGGGAGCGGCCACAAACTTCAACAAAGTCCACTGAGGAAACACTCTTAATCCAGCCATTCGGAGCATGAGCTGCTTGCTGCAACATGATAGTGCTTGGTTTTGTGAATGTTTTGTGCTTGAAACACTGCCGATCAAAGGTCGCCAGACACCTAGTGCAGAAACCTGGTTAATTGAACTCGACATGAATGCAAGGCCTGCGCGGCGCGAGGACAGTCTGGCTTTCTCGCCCGAAGGTGAAATCCCAAGCCCGAAACGCGAGCTCCCGAACGTCCTAAATCCTAAACACGAAAAATTCTGACTCGCTTGAGATATACTTGAGATATGGACTTAGGTGCCGTGCTGCGTTGTCCTCATCACCTGCGTGGATGCCAGAGGCCTGTCGGAGGCAGAGGGCTGCGAGGATTGCACAAATTGGAGCAACCGCATGTCCTGCCTGCTTCACAACCAGGAAGACGAGAGGCCAGAGAGTCCATGAGAAGGCTAACTTGCAACACATCACGCCAGAACCCCAAACTATATCGACTACCGACTGCGCCTCAAGCGGTAAGAACAACTCAACACAGTCTGCGCCATGGAACCCCCGAATCAAGAACTTTGACGGTTCAGTCTGGCAGAGCCAGAGGCATGGCTGCGGTCACCTGAAACTGTGCTCGTGCGATGGGCTTTGCGACAGCAGGCTCGGTGTGATTTGGTAGGGTACTGTAGGGTTTGAGTTTGACGTCTTGGGGCTTAACGGACCAATGCCCCCCAATCCTCCTACACACAAAAACACTATACGTCACTATACATTCAAGTATATTTCCAGACTAACGCATGCATGTCATACAATGAAATACAGGAACATCAAAATAAGTATAAAAGATATATATGCTCACCCCCCCCGTTGACAGACCATGCCCTTGTGACAGTGTACTCTCGTTCGGTGACTCGGCTGAGATAATGTATCTAAACACACCACACACGACGATAATCTGTAAAGCAAAACCTTTACAGTACATATACAACGTATACTTCTAAGATGCCATGAACTGAGGACGCATGGACCAAACGCGATCATTACTGTTCCAATACTCCCCCAGGAGTGGATCCTACGGGGAATAGTATTGGCTTCACCCCCCCCCCCTCCCCCTCCCCTTCTTCCTGCCCCTGCCCAACGCGGCCATGCTGGTTGTACAGCTGGTTCGTTCCTCCTTGCCGCATGATACAGAAGGCTTTGCCGTTTCATCCGGCCCCTGCACCTGCGCAGCCGAGGCGGGCCGCGCAGCATTAAAATTTTAGTTTTTGTAACACTCGTGCTCGAGAAGCTCAGGCGAGGATATACAGATTCAATACAGATGTATGTGTGTATGTAACTTGTATGTATATTTGTATAAATGGTTATGTCTATCTCTCCCCCTCTACCGGGTGTGGGAGTCGTGGCAGCGTCCAGGCCACTTCCCGTCCCCCGTGCGCAGTCGCACTCCCGCTATTCGTGGAGCGTCCTTTGTTCCCCCCAGGGTTTCGCCCCAGGTAGGCTCGGCTGTACGTGTTGACAGGTTTCGCCGAGGCATGAAAAGAGGAAGGCCTGCTGATTTCGAGCTAACAACCCATCTCCAAGGCGTCACGATCTATCTCTCTCTCCCTTCTTCTTCAGCTCGGCCAGGAGAGTCGGGCTCGCACCCTTCCCTCCGCGCGCATTCGCGCACCGGGGAGTTTCGGGCGGTGAGAAAAGATAAAAACTCCACGGGATTACGCACTGGTCGACCACTTGAACCCCCCCTTTACACTAACCCCCAACCCGCCTTGAAGGCTGTGGCTCGAACACCCCGACGGTCGGACCCTGTGCGTCCCATTGTTGCTGGGCCTCGGGCCTTGCCTGGGGTTCCCCCGGCACTGTGCTGTAGTCGGCCCCCCTTTGAGCCCCCATGCAAAGCAACGTAGACTGCACTGTACACTGAGGCCCGGGCGGAGAGCGGTACAAAAACAACAGCACAGCAGCAAGGACGCAAGCACTCCCCTAATCACTGTCGTCGGTCCACTCTCTGTCAGCTCTCCGTCGGGCCCCTACAGGGCTATGCAGCCGCCTACGGTTGGCACGACCGAAGGCTGCCAACTCTGCTTCTACTTGCTCTTGGAGCGCATGCCCGTCGGCTATCCTCACTGGGCGGCCCCGGGTCACTGGGAAAGCTTTCTGGGTCACGTTCGGCTGAAGAAGGTACTTCGAGCACTGCCATCGACCCGCGTAGATTCCAGTAGGCTGGAAAGCGGGGCCTTTCGCTGACCTCCCCGGCAGTGCCCCCCGACTCATCACCATCGAGCTGCGTGGCCACCGGCATTGGTGGTCTTGCGTCCCCCACGGCATCGGCTGCAGTTGGAGACTCTGGCGGTTCGGTGGCTTCTGTTCCCCGCGGCCGTGGCTCCCAGTGTAGGCTCGTGCGAGGTGAGGTTAGGTTGCCCTGGGGTGCATCTCCGTCTCCCCCACATCGGCGATGGCAACATGTCCCCCCGACGTCGGGACGGGAGCTTCGAAGATGCTTGGGGGCTCCTCTGCTTCTTGGGTCTCTGCGTTGCCCTGGCTGTCCACCATCAGGGTGGTCCCCTCTCGACTTTGGACCCATGCCAGTAGTGTG